TTCAGATGACTGGATAGAGGAAAAGCCAATCTGGGCCAGTCGTGTATTTACTTGAGGAAGAAAACAACTTGTATTGTAAATAAATCCATGAAGTGTCTGCAAACAGGAAATCATATTAACTTGAGTGGATCCTCCTGGTCACTGTCCACACTCTCGGCCTCGCTGTCCGGGTCCCCGCGCCAATTATGGTCGACCTGCATCCGCTCCCCCTCACTTTCGCTGCAGCTGTCGTCTGCAGGCAGAGACGCGATTGTCGCTCATTTTATCGGCAGAAATCACGCTTCCGTAAAATATCTCGCTCCGACAGGTGTAACCGCAACTTCCAGGTGGCGAGCCCTCACCCAGTAGTCTGGAAGCGTCGCTGTGCTTTGTGGTTCTGGCCCGCCCGTCCTCCAGCATGTAGCTTCCCAGATCTGCCAGGATGCTCTCTGTGGTGATGCCACTGCTTTGCTTCCTCATCTGCTGTCGTGCAGCTTTGCTGGCCTTCCGTGCATGCTCGGCGCAGAGGGAGGAGCTGTAGAAACGTTCAGTCGTGGAATAAAAAAACAAAACAAATGAATCACACAACTGCACAGTACGTTTTCAAAATACACATGAATTGCTGTATGGTCAGATCTTTTAACTTTAATAATCAACAAAAAAAACCTTGTCGCCAAATCAACCAAATACTTTAGATCACCACACGAGAGACTAGTCTTTGGTGATCCCACTGGTGAAAAAGGGGTGGACAAGCACACCACCGCAACCTTACGCCCACACGACTGCCAACCTGCGATTGCTGTCACACACCAGTCCTCACAACCAACACCACAATCACCACATTCCACGCACCACACTCTGACCTGCCTCTACTGAACACCTGTGAAAGAAAGCTTTATAGCTCACCGCATTCTTCCAGAATAAATTATTCTGAAATATACACCAGCCACCACACATTCACCACACCCACGCAATCGCCGTGCCATCCACGGCGGCCGACGCATCACGCTACTGCCACCCACGGCCCTCTACCACACACCTATCCTTGCGCTCGTTGCGGGGTGCGGCATTGGGGCACCGCTTGCTGTTGCGTGCCGACACGTAGCAACACTGGCGGTACGGCGCGGCGCGGTCGTCCAGGATGTGCTTCAGGCAGTAATCGTAGCCGTCGAGGCGAGCCAGGCTGCACGGCCGGCTCGTGTGCGCGCAGCTCTGCGGCTCGGGCACACGGTTCAGGCTCGCGGCGCGCCCGCGGCCCGACGTCGCCAGCACGTTGATGCGAATGCGATTCATTGCGCTGGGAAAGGCAAGCGGTAAAAAAAGAGCATCCATTACAGTGGGAAAGAAGTACGGGCGGTAATCAGTTTGCAGAAATGCAACATCCAAACACCATGAACCCTCTAATCCCCTCTTCCTGTCTAACAAAATGATTTCCCTTGGATTTTTGCCACTTGTGTGGAGTCATGCTCCCGAGTCCACTCATTCCTGTTCTGGGCTATCGCTACGTCACAATTCTTCATTATCCTCGTCCACCAGCTGGAACCACCTCTTTCTAGGGCTGCATCTGTTCCTTCCACGTTCGTCGCCTTTCTTCCGATGTGGTTTTTCTCTCTTCTTCCATACCAAAGCCACTTTATTGTTTGAGATCTGCAGCACTCTCAACTTCTTCCTCGTCTCCACCCTTATTCCTCACCCGAACCAATTAGCAAACCAGCCTCGAGTGCGATGCTTCTCACCGACCCAAACACGAAGAAACTAGCTGAGTAGCCAATAATTCCAACCCTATCCCAATTACCGTAGTAACTCTCATTCGCCATATATCCTATCCCTAAGCACGTTTAGTGCTTCTTCGAGACTTGATGTGTTAATTTTCAGTTCTGCTCTTTACAGCGCTCCTAATGCGATAACACAAGTCACATTCGTCAATACCACTGTCGCCTTCAATTTAAAGATACAATGGGCAACGTTTCGGACTATGGCCCCTCCCCAAAGTACAACCTAAACGAGCACCGCCCCATCTTGGTTAGAACAGAGGGACAATTTAGTTGTATTATTTTATGTTAGAACTTAACATTTTTCGTTCGACGGGCCAATTACCGAAACGTCACCTATTTCGTTTTTTTTCCATTCCAAGGCAAATACAGTACTCCGAGTTCTAACATAAATAAAATAAAATTTTGATTTAAAGCTTTCGTGACTGCAGGTAGAAGGGAAACAACATTTTATTGTTTCCCTTCTACGTGACTTTACCGAAAGAACCAAGAATATAAATAAAATTGTCCCTCGTCTCAAATTGCTAGGTCAACCGGTGGTGGCATTTGCACATTCCTATGACAGGGATCATTACGAATCAAGCGTTGAAAATGGCGACTTCTCCATTGAATCAAGCGCCCTTACAACCACAACATCATCTGACCACTTATGCAACTATTAATGTAAATGCAACGTTTAGAATTAAAGAATTGCACCTCAACGAAAAGCACTTCAATGTTGAGATTGCACAATCGGGCCGCGTTGCGAACGTTTGATTCGCATACTCACGCGTTTTAAAACGGATTCACAACTTTAAAATTGCAAACGTCGAAACAATTCCAAGGATGTACGTTAAGCAACCGGGGACTTGAACCCACAAGAGCTCTCAGCCGATTGCCGCCACACTTGTAGCGAATCGCCTGACGAGGCTTGCTGTGTAAACGTTGTGGGTTTGGCTCGACAACACTCCGCTGTGCTGAAGTGGACACGAATTGCCGCGTTTTTGCTTACGTGACAACCCTGACTAATCGCCTGCGTGGGGTTGTAACGCGCAGCTGTGTATATTAACGCGATCTCACTCTCACACGCGCGCGCACAAACGCCTTCATTCTCGATTGCCAGCCTCCCTGCAGCCCCCACCCAACATGGCCGCCAGCTCAACAACAACGGAAGTGACGTCGCGGCACCGCCCCAGTCACCGTGGGCGAGGCGAACGTTAAACAACAGCGCCGCCGCCACAACCACCACTTACCGGCGGTACAATGCGGGATGCAATTCCGACGAGCGATCGCTTTACTTAGTTTTTTTTGCAGACCGAGATATTTCTGGAGGTTTTTCTTTTGCGGTCAAAATTGGCGCGCCCGTGAATGCGTCAACGGCACAAAGGCGCCGGCCGCCATGACACTGCTCTCCCTCCCCTCGCTCCCTCATCGCCTGCCCCCCACCCCTCATTTAAAAATCCGCGAGCCAATCGCATCGCGGGTGTCAATGACGTCACTAACGGTTGCGTAAGAGCCCCGCCCTCGTCCCCACCCCGGAAACCATTTGGCACGATGCTGTTGTGAAAGAGCGAACTCACAAGATCCCTGGGTTTGACCTTCCACGAAGCTGCTCATGGCCCATCCCAAATCGCATACACCGCACAAAGCACGGCAGCAGCAGATGCGGTTACCTGATGCACAAAATATGGACGATTAAAAACCCTCCAGTGTGCTACCACTGTGGTCATCCAGAGCAGACCGTACACCATGATAACGGACGCAATGCCCGATCCACAAATACGAAGGAGACATCACGGCGATCGCTACTCCTAACGCGGTTTATCTGGCTTCACCACCTGAATGTGAGACTGTGGTTGTTGTTCTGCGTCTACATCGGCAGCCAAACGAAAGTCGAGCTGCCAGGAAGCGGTGACGTCACTGGAGTCACGCGCCGCCTCCGCATTGCCCCTCCTCCCCATTGCCGCTCCTCTCCATTGCCCCTCCTCCCCATTGCCGCTCCTCTCCATTGCCCCTCCTCCCCATTGCCCCTCCTCCCCATTGCCCCTCCTCCCCATTGCCCCTCCTCTCCATTGCCCCTCCTCTCCCCTGCTGGGAGCGATGCCTCTGAGTCGATTGTTAAATAACCTTGCCGTGGGAATTAACCTTTGGTGAAAATATTGTAAAATTAAAAAATGTCATATATAACTATAATCAATATAGTTCCTCCATCCGCGATTTTATATTTCCCATTACGTCCTTATCTCACGAACATGTAAGGCACCACTACTTTTTCAATATTTTGACTTTCACGTTTTGACAGCGTGTTTTTCTTGTACGACGGTCAAACGCGTCATTTATTGTGCAAAATACTCGTTTCCCTGCAACATTGACGTGTTTGTTGTCGCTGAACCTACGCACCACGGATCTCCCGTGGGATCATTCGTGCAATCGCAACACAAGCAATCGTAATCAGGAGAAAAAAAGGAAAGCTGCTGACGCAGGCTGTTTCAACCTTTAAAACAGCCTGTTTCAGCAGCTTTGCGATCGAAGCGTCGTGATATTATTTTTTATTCACTTTATTTTAATTATTTTATTGTTATTTTTTATATCTACGTGACTTTACCGAAAGACCCAAAGAATATGAATTCCTGCAGTCACGAAAGCTTTAAGTTAAGATCAAAATACACATGTCGAATAATTGAAGCAATTGGCGGGACCCCGGGGTGGGAAAAACCGCGTAGCGACACGAGTCTTGCCTTACCGACAACAAAACTAGTGTCAATCGATTGGCCTCGTCGAGAGCTACTCGGGGCACTAAGTTTCGTAAAAAGTTGAAAAATTACATAAACACTTTAAATTCACTGCCTAGAGGGCGGCGGGCTCGCCTTGGCAAAGAAGCTGAGGATCGACGACTGCGGCGGACGCCCCCCGGGGCTCTCGTTTGGCCGGTGGGGTGGCGCCCATCGTGTCGATCGCCGCCTGCTGCTGATGCTGGCGCTTGTTGTTGGCGCGAGTCTGGGCGGGCGGCGCGTTGCTGTCGGGGTCACGAGTGGGCGGACTGAAGAAAAATAATAATTATTGACCTGATTTTTGCGGGACCCCGGGGTCCCGCCAAATGATTCATCTGTGAAAAAGAGTTGTTTCGCTCATCGCATTCATCCGCGATTCGTAAAGAATTCTCGTCGAGCTCCTCCAGGGCTGAATAGCGGTGCCGAATCGCAACGCGGCCTGCCCCCCCCCCGTATGACGTCACCCAAATCAATCCCGCGTGACGTCACAGCCGCTGCCACTTCCGCCGGACGTGACGTCGCGCGTTTCCGCCGTCTCTGCCCGCGCGCGCGCTGCTCCGGCGATGGCGGCGGCGCCGCCTCCTCCTCCCCCGGCCAAGTGGTTCTTCAGCAGGGAGCAGCTCGAGGCCACGCCGTCGCGCAGATGCGGCATCGAAGTGGACAAGGAGTTGTCCTACCGCCAACAGGCGGCCAACCTCATCCAGGACATGGGACAGAGGCTCAACGTGTATCCGAACCAGGCGGGCGCGGGGGGGGAAGGTAGTCCGGGAGGGGGGGCGGCTGCGTCACCGGGCCGTGCGGCCTTGTCGCGCAGGCTTTCGCGGTAGGGGAGGCATTGTTACGTAACGTTGGGTACTCGCGTTAACCTCTAGCTCGGTGGAGATTAATGTGCTTATTGGGGCGGCGTTTGGTTGTGTTAGAGAGCAGGGTTCGTTGCAATGGCGCAACCTGCTCGTGAGGGGTGGGGGGGAGTATCTGCGAGGGGAGGCTGAAGCCGAGCGCGGCGAGGCTCGGGCGCGGCTCTCCTTTGTCGCCGCCATGTTGTCCTCGCCCTCCACGCCGGCTCTGCGCGTCGCGTCCTCTCTGCGAGCCTTCATTCTCTAAGCGGTTTATTCATTCTCCCCGTGAGTGTGCGAATGTTTGCAACCTTGGGGGTAACCTCCACGCCGCGTGCGTTGCTGCAGTCGTGTGAACCCCGAGAGGCGAGGGTACCGCTTCCTCCACCGCCAGTGTCCATTTTGCCGCCGGCTCGGGGTCGTTGGGGGATTTGCTCGTAAATGTAAGTGTTGATTTCTGTCGCTTGTGTGTTGTGGTTTTTGTGCGTGTTTTTTCCTTAACCCTTGGTTTCATTTGATTCATTTTTGGACTCGTCGCAGTTCGCAGCTGACGATAAACACAGCTATCGTATATATGCACAGGTTTTATATGCTGCAGACCTTCTCAAAGTTCCACAGAAATGTAAGTTTTGCGTGCATACTTCGAATTTTGAAGAAATTCTGACATCACTTACATTTGCAGTCTGCTATTACGCGCTGTACACGTGGAATGTGTAACTGCAAGCTGGAGGCTCTGTTGGTGTTTCTTAAGGTTAAAAGCATTCTCAAAAGTTATTCTATCTCTTCCTGAAGGCAATTTCTCCAGCTGCTTTGTTCCTGGCTGCTAAAGTAGAAGAGCAACCACGGAAGCTGGAACATGTTATTAAAGTGGCACACGCGTGCCTTAACCCACAGGAAGCTCCGCTGGATACAAAGAGTGATGTAAGTGAGACTAAATGATACATTTTTCTGTATTCCATCTCAACCCAGAGGTTTTGCACGTTTCCATTCCCTATTCGGCAAATTTGTACTTTGTTGGGTGCACGCGTGGAATGAAATATGTTTTCAATGTACTGTGAATGTTGAGCCAATATGCACTCGGACGTCTTTTGTGTACAAGGTGAAATTCTGGGTAAATATTCAATCGTAAAAAAAACTTACGCAGGAGAATTTCTTTCCTGTTTCGTCAGGCTTACCTTCAGCAAGCCCAAGACTTGGTGATGAATGAACATGTGATGCTTCAGACATTGGGTATGTTGAAGCTGACATTGGAACTGTTCATATTTTATATTCAAAACAAAGTTTCCACTTCAATTACCCAGTAATTTTGAATTTATTAAAGCATTGACCTCAAAACGGCCCTGATTCAAGGCTGTAAACCTCCCCATTGGTTTTCAGTTTCAAGACAGAGCCTATAATAATTCTTTCTTTGGTCTGTGGTCTTTCCTGAATTACCGTGGAATGGCTCATTCGTTTGAAAGATACATTTGCATAAATAAAAAAATGAAGAGGTATGTTTGGATTTATAGAGCTTTCAGATTATATACCTACTATGAAAGTAATATGTGCTCTCTTTCATTTTGCAGGTTTTGAAATAACAATAGATCACCCTCATACTTATGTTGTGAAATGCACACAGTTAGTACGGGGTAAGAACCACACTCATGTGCAGAACATTAATACGCAAAGCATGTATTCTAAGTTACAATTGTCTTCCAAGTCTACATTGAAACACTAAAGATAAAAATATATTTGCCTCCGTTATTTGGTCATAATACGTTTTCTGCTTTTATTTTTTCAGCGAGTAAGGATCTGGCCCAGACCTCGTATTTCATGGCTACCAACAGGTGGTTACCCACACCCATACGTTGCACTGTTAAGGCGCACTAAAGCTTCCCCTAATGCAGAACCCCCTACCGTTGCCACTGCCCTGTCTCGCTCTAGGGCTAGGCCCGCCATACCCCATGGCGTTGGCCCCCTATTGTAGTGCGGTGTAATGTACCAGGGCACCATCGGCACAGGGGGTTGTATGCACTAGAGAAGTGTAGTGTTGCTGTCTGTGTACGGTTGCCAGTACTGCGTGCATATCGGTGTAAACTGGTAGCCTATCGTTCTGAGCGCTAGTCTAAGCTAGGAGTGAGAGTTACCCTGGTAAGTATGGGCATCCCATTTTTTTCTTTATTGCTTTTTTGCTTATAGCTTGATAATATTTACCTTTTTAAAATGTTTGCTTTCATTATCAACTAATTTAATACATAATAAAAATGCGTAAATTTGATTGCATTTTGTGAATGTGCATGCATATTTTATATTACATGAAATGTTTCAATGTTCAAATTATGTACATTATACATTTTTTATATGCACTGCCTTTGGCCACTGTTAAACTGATGTAGATGTGAAAAGTCATGGCTGCTTTCTCTGTCCCCATGGCAATGACCACTTAACAAACATGAACATGCCTATTGCCGGCTTCTTCTGGACCTACGGTCTCCGGGGTCCTCTCCATCCTGCGTCTACGGCTGTGCAGCCTACACCTCACCACATTTTGCTTGCAGCACAAGCCCACAGTGGTAGCCTGCGTTTGTATCCACCTGGCCTGTAAGTGGTCCAACTGGGAGATTCCAGTCTCGAGTGATGGAAAACCATGGTGGGAATATGTTGATAATGGTGTCAGCATGAACCTTCTGGATGGTAAGGAATCCACCACATGTGCCTGATTCTAAATCGACATTTTTGTACGGATTGGAATGGAAAGAATTATATTTGGGTAAACATTAAATTCAAATGCATAATTTTTTATTGTACTGCTTTTCGCAATGACATCCAAATAATGACATTCGGGCATTATATTGGAGTGTTTTTTGTTTAATTTCTAAATGTATTTTTGCTTTTTCAGCATTAACACATGAATTTCTTCAGATTCTTGAGAAAACCCCAAATAGGCTAAAAAGGATAAGAAACTGGAAGGTAAGTCATTTTGTATGATGCTTTTTGGTTAATTTAACTCGTGGATTTTTTATGTGATTCCTTTTGGGTTAATTAAAATTTCATTTTGCAGTCCACAGTTTCAGCTTACGTTTCCATTTAGTCAATAAGCAATACAGCGCCAAAATATAATATCTAATAAAATTGGACTACAATTTTGGTTAATGTGAATTTTTTTTGTAGATTTAATTTCTAGTACAGGTTTCCCTTTATGCGGTAGGTGTTTACAAAAATGGCGCACAAAGCAAAACCGCACTAGACGGCTGCCTTGCCGAGTAGTGCATTAAGTACACACAATGTCCCACGTCCGACCGCATAGTTGCATATGAGTGAATTCAAACCGCATATGAGTGAATTCAAACCGCATAGAGTGAATTTTGGGTAGAAATAGATTAGCTACATATATACGAGTTCACACAACTGAACCTGCATAAATCGAGGGAAACGTCCATTTGCTTTTGTCAATATTGGTCCATGAATGAAAACATTCCTTTAACTTGAAAGTAGACCACACTGGTACAACCGTACCCACCTACCATTTCACATTTATACATTAACAATAATGTGAAAAGCCTTATTTTTTTGCAAACTGGCTAGTATTATGGAACCTCCTTTGCCAGTATCAAAATATAAGAATAGGTTTTCCCCTTTCCAGCAATAAAACAGGTGTTAAGATACTTTTTGGTTCTATTCGGTAAAGTCATGTAGGTAAAAAAAATCAAGACTGCGCAGTCTTCGAGACAGGCTGTTCCCTTCACCTGATGAAGGCCGCTTGTGTTGTGACCGAAACGTGATTTTTTTTTTTTTACCTACATGACTTTACCGAATAGAACCAAAGAGTATGGATCCTTGCAGTCACGAAAGCTTCAAATCTAGAGGTGTTAAGATGTTAAAACACCAAACTGAAACCTTTTGCAAGGAATCATGTCTGCATGAACCACATATACTTGTGGTGAAAATACAAAAAAAAACATGATCTGACAGTATATGCATTGTCTTGGAAACAGATTGGTCCACACCAGAGACAGCTTTCTTTAGAGCCTAGTATCAAACACAGACATGATTCCTTGCAAAAGGTTTCAGTTTGGTGTTTTAACATCTTAACACCTGTTTTGTTGCCAGAAAGGGGAAAACCTATTATAAACTGGCTAGCATTTTTTTGTTGCTGTGTATTAACGACTTCGTATGCGTTTCACCGAAAAACATTGAGTTTTTATTTAAGCGTTGATAACTTTTTCTATAAGCGACAGTGATAGCCCACAAATGCAAACGAGGTGGTTTCCATTGGATGGGATGGTTTATAGTATGGCACTGCACACATTGCCCACTCTCCCATGCATCTTTTAGGCGAGTACAGGACTGCACGATTTGTGCCAACCGCTGCTTTTTGTACAGTAAAACCTCTTAAAGCGGGACACCTGTAAATTGGAATTTGAGTGCGAAAAATGGTGTTTGAAAAAAAATAATTAAGGGGAAAGAAAACCTGTCCATAATGATATTTTCATGCTAAGTATGCTTTGTATTCTTTGGGTCTTTGGGTAAAGTCACGTTTTTTTTACTTATCTACGTGACTTTACCGAAAGTCCCAAAGAATATGAATTCCTGCAGTCACGAAAGCTTTAAGTCAAGATTTAAGTATGATTTGCATAATTATGTCAATTGTAATTGTTTTAAAATTCATAAAATGTCCAAAAAGAACTAGTGCTCATATAATAACACTAAATGGTAGACTGATGTATTTGGCGAACAAGTGCCCGTGGACCTCTCGGTCTACAGTAGATTAATATAAATGCATTGACTATGAGATGGTGCATTTGTATTTTCTAAAAACATCACAAAATAGTTTAGGTAATGTATCATTTGTCCCACCGGAAAATATATTGAACCATCCACCTTTTCCACATGGTTATGGTAACTCATTACGCTAGAGTAATGCTTTGAGTGTTATTTTAAATATTTAGTCAATGGTTTCATGTTGTTTACATGTAAATTTAATGTAGTAATTGCTGATTTTTTTTGCAATATGCCAGGCATTTGCCATCATTAGAAAGGCTCTTCACCCATTAGACATTAGTGTGAATGTGGTTCCTAATTATTTTCTTTACATGTAAATAAGTTGTCGCATCACCTAGTGAATTAATCTTGACTCTAACAACACTCTTGAATATTGCATTTGCTAAACTCATGAAACATTTTGCAAATTACTTGTATTTAAGCAAAGCTTCACTCACACCCTGCATTCCCCAGTACCTTTGCAATTTCCCAATCCTCATACTGGCCATCTGCCTCCAGAATCATACCTTTTTGGTGTGTAAAATAACCATACTGTGTTCTCTTGCAGGCATATCAGAATCAAGCAATTAAGAAACTGAAAGTGGAAGGGCAACCAACAAACGATGCACATTGCCACAGCCTGGATAGTCTTGCATTCCACTTTGATGCTGCAGACCTCGCCGCACCTTCTGAAGTGAAATCTGCATCCACCTCTGTGCAACAGTCTATAAGTGTGCCGATGGTTCCTGTGCAGTCGGTTCCTTTTGCGCCGCCTGGTCAGGTCATGGCTCCTTTGAAGTCCTACCAACTGCAGAAGTCACATGATCTTCAACAGAAGACCCATGACTCGGTTCCCATCAAAGCGGAAATGCAAGCCAAACATTCTGACAATGCTATGCACTCTGACGTTCCAGTGTATTTAAAAACAGAGCGTTCATCCCAGAAATTGCCAAGCCGGGATCCCCAGCCTAGCACTGCCACAGGGTCTGTGCCTTCTGCCACAGCAAATAAGGTTCCTCATCAGAAGGTTAGTCTGCTGGAGTACCAGGAGAAGCATGCTGTAGTCCTGGCAGAGCACAAGCGCAAGCTGGAAAGACAGGAAGCTGAACTCAAGGAAAAGTATGCCTCTGAAGCTCAAATACTTCTGGAAGTTCAGAGACGCGAAAAGATGCAACAGAGTAGTGGCACGAGTACTCCCAGTGAGCAGTCGCAGAAACATAAACACAAATCTCACCACCAGAGTAATGAGAAAGTGGACAAACATGGAAAACAGGACAAAAGTTCTATCAAAGTGCGCCTTCCTGGAAACCAGGATGATACTAAAGATGGTCGTGAGATTAAAGTAAAAATCAAGATGCCAATGGCACATGAACATAACAGTGGCACTGATGACAGCATCAGCAAAGGTAAACACCAGAGCCAGGCAATGTTGAAAGAAAAGCACAAAGACCACCATCCTGCCTCCCACCACCATCACCACCATGGAAACAGTCATAAACACTTGCACTCGTACCCTCATTTACACAGCAGTGGTAATGGGAAACATAGCTCTGATGGTTCCAAAGGTGGCTTTGTATTATCACCAGAAGCCAAACCAGGTACTACGAGCAGCAGTGGTAGCTCGAGTTCTGGATCGTCACGTAAACGACCGCGCGAGAGTAACGCTACATCTCATGGAAACCCGCAGAAGATGAGCAAGCAGACCTCCAAAAGCAGCAGCTCCTTTGCCAAGCAGCACTCCTTTGCAGTGCAGTCGCTGCTGCATCTTCCAATGCCTCCCCCACCACCCACCACCTCAATTTCTTATGGGCAGCTGCCCAAAAGATCTGGGAAAGAATTAAATGGGCTCAACTCGGACTCATGTTTGGACTTGGACGAGCCGATGCCGCACATGCAGGGCGACAGCTACAAGGCCACCCGTGATATGCTGGAGTCGCTGCTTTGTGCACAGGGTGTGAACACGCCCACCAACACCAGCCAGTCGGGTTTTACGCAAGACTTCAGCCCCAACTATTACAGCCAAAACATGGCCCGTGGATTCCATCCACTGATCCACAGAGGGCAGTCACTTCCAAGTAAACCACCACTTCCACCACTGCCAGCTGACCCTCCCCCGCCCCCTCCACCGCTCCCTAAGTAAATACACTGGACAACATGAGCAGGTCGACGTTTTGCTTTTTTGCTGTTAAAGAAAAAGGGTAAAATTGTACAGTTTTGTTGCAACGTTCATGTCTGCTTTTAGCCGCTGAGGAACCCCAGCGGTTTTACTGTGATTCAACGTGGTTTTTTTATAGCAAGCGCGTAACAGTTTTATGAAAAAAGAAAAAAAATCTGCATTTGAAAATCTTCGGAGTTGGTAAGTCTCTTGAAGATTTCCTTATCTGTCTTGTCATTTTAGCATTTCATTTTAGTTTAGTTTCATTCCTAAAGACTTAATAGATGTAAAAAGTCTTGGAAGTACCAGCATAAAGTGGAGGTACAAGAAGCTCAGGTGTTGGAATCTCTACAGTATAAAACTTAAAAAAAAATGTTTACATTTCATTATTGTGCTTTGTTATGAAGTGCATATTAACAATTTTCTTGGCTTGTGGTGAATATTTCTCCAGGCTTAGCCCTCTAAATACTTGATATTGAAAATTGCAAATATTTATTTATATACTTAATAAAGACATGAGAATCGTAATCCTGCTCGGTGTTTAAATGTAGTGGAGCTCTGTACATCGCCTTAGTTTCCCTGCAGTGAAGGCAGTGGACGGTAAGCATTATTGGCTGAAGGGATAAACGCGCATGGTAACGGCTGCAATCGTTTTCATTCTTGAACTCTTGTCTGTATATAATACACCCGCACCCTGTGTAAATTAAAATGTAAAATTTTGTACCAAAAAACATTCAGTAAAGATTTCTCAATAGCTAAATGGCCACCTGGCACGTTTAGTGATTTCTCTATTTTACTACTTGCATTTAGATTGTTAAAATGTATGTATCACTTTACATTAAAGGCAATAAATGCTTTTGTGTTGTACCCTGTGCGGCCCTGCTTCATTGCATTGCGTAGTCAAGGCAAATATACATTTTTGAAATTGTGCAACGTTTTTCAGAGGGAATGGACTTTGCAAGTGCACGTGGTTTTCATAAAACGGCAAGAAAACGCATTTTCTGAGTAGCAGGATTGTAGAACACAAGCCAATTCTGGACCGTTCATAGTGGCGTGCAGCTGAATACTTTTTCATGGTAATACCTTGTTACATGTAATAGGTTGACAATTTGGGAACATGCCCTTCAGAGCATGGGGTAAGATTGACATTGGTTTGCTCATGATTCATGAAAAGCGTATATGCGAAACAAGTCAACTTTACATTTTCCATTCTGGTCACAAAGTTGTCCAGAAATGTAAACCAATTTACCCTCTTTCAAAGGGCAATTTCCCTAAAACATCCCTGTTGCATTTTAGAAAGCAGTATTAATGTAAGTTTGTTGAAACAGTGCTGTCTACTGCATACTTTATTTTGTCAGTATAGTGTATGGATTAAGCTGATAAAGCTACACAAATGTGCATGTAATGGGCTGTCTCATCTACTCGTGAATAAAGGTGCTAAAAAGCAACGATTGTGCAGTTGACAATACTGTATTGGATACTCCTAATTGCAGAATGACAACCATATGACAAACGGCTGTTGAATGAAGACGGAAAACTGCTCACTTTGCATAAAATGCACGGCTTGGAAGGAATCTATTAAAGAGAATCGCCATCCAGAAGGTGTGCTAAAGCAGTATCGTATTTCATTTAATGTATTTTATTGCAGCTTGATGACTGCCTCCTGGGGCCGAGCATTGGTAAAATATTTTAGGATTATGTAAGGGTGATGTAAGGGCACTTAAGCACACCATAACTAAAGGCAGCTATTGCACAACTGGGCAGGAGAAAGGGGGTTAGAGGACAATGCCGGAAGGTTCCAGTGATTGAGAATGAAATCCATACTCTGGTTCTTACGGTAAAGTCACGTGGATAGAAAATTAATTGATAACGACGGTTTGATCGCAACACAAGCAACCGTCAGGTGAGACGAACAGCAGGAGAAAGCTGCTGCAACACGGATATATAGGCTTTAGGTGGGCTCAGTTTAGCCCAACTGGTTATATGCATTTTAACAAATCACAAGGTTATTTTAACAAATGTTCAAACTGACTTTCATTAACATTAATGCATGTGTAATGTAGCGTTCAGAGACGCCGTCTTGTTCAGTTATATGTATATTGTGAAAAGTCCACCGACTCGCTGTTAATTTAACGAGTAACCACGAGTTGACGACAAACCGCTGGGTAACTTCTGTGACTACTTGACGCTCCCCATGTAGTTGGCTGGCTACACAGGAGCAGACGCTTGGTAGTCACGGAGACAATATTAACTCTAGTCTTCTAAGACTACAAGGTGCCCGATCCAAGATAAAGACGACCCGCTCCAAGACGACGACGGCAATGACAGTTTCTTGGTTCCCCCACAGCAGCCCAGAGCCCTGTTCCACACCGGCTTTTATCCACTCCTCGACCCGGCCACGCCCATTTTCCCGAACACTCTCACCTCATCTGGGCCTGTCCCTGTCTCAATTATTATTTACGACTACGAAGGTCCCGTGCTATCCTTACGCGACCCTGTCAGTGCCCGTCGCGTCAATTAGTAACCACAGCCACGAGGAGCCGTACTGTCCTTACACATGCATGAATTCTGTTTTGAAATGAATTTGGGACTTCAAAAAAACATCCGTAGCATACATTAGAGAATTCAACTTGTGCGTCTTTGGTCGAGAGAGAACAATCACCAATTTTTAATGTCACCTGAAAATTAAGAAAAATAAATTAATGACTACATAAAATATTAACTTTAAATATGCCCGTGTTAAAATATAATAAATAACCCAATGTGTCCTAACTTTTGGGCCACCCTGTTTGAAAGGGGTTTGACGCGTGCTCTGGGTTCTTGGATAGATGGCTTCCTACGAGTGTGCTTGTGTTTAAGTGAGAGATGTTTTAGTAAAAGCCCTCACCTGAAGTTTGCCTCGTGTGGACTCCCTTTCAATAATCCAGTCATGGAATAACGTGCCCCTGGCGAGGTCGAAGGGACCTAGAAATAACGTTTTACAGGGCTTGTTTCGAGAGAATATGTTTTAGAGGTGCTTCCTTTGTAAAAATACAACCTTTATCTCATCTGACAAAATAACACTCGTCGCATTAAGATCCAGAAGCCTAATCTCATCCGAAAATCCTCTTCTCATCTATTTTTCACAAGCCTCTAAAGAGGCTGATCTTGACACCACTGGTACCAGTCATTGGCAAGTCCACTCAGCTCCACATCCTTCTGTACCCCATCAGTCCACCTCCTCTCGCCCGTGCTGCGCTCCTTTAGCCCCCTCTATCCAGCCAAACAAGCTTCAACAACATTTTATTGTTAAAATGTTCTTGGAAAGATTTTGGTTTACTTTTTATTATTAATTATTCGTTTATCTACCTCTGAACAAAAATAAGCTGATTGACCATGTGGTGGATGGGCAAGACGTGCCCACACCAAATGCTGCACCCAGCAGGTAAATTATTGAACTAGCGCTGCTTGGCTATTTGCATAGTTTTTAACTAAAGTGAATTGCAAGCAATATCGATTTCTTGGTATTCTTTTCAAATGAGGCAACGTACATGATGCATGTGGATTATGCCAGCGGTCCTCAACCTTGTTTGCACCAGGGACCGGTTTTGTGGAAGACAATTTTTTCATGGACCAGGGGGAGATTCATCATTGGGTCTTTCCCCCTTTTCAAAGAAGCTCTCCAGCGACGTTTCCTTGTGGGCTTACCAAAACTGTGACTGAGATGAGTGCGCAGTGCGGGAAATAGGCGCGGACGGAAGTGGTAAATAATAAAATAATGGGCGGGCCGCGTGCGGACTCCCCGCTCTCACCTCCTGCTGCTGTGCAGCCCGGTTCCTTACAGGCCACGGACCGGTACCGGTCTGCTGTTGTATACGGCCCTTTTTCCACAATTAATATCCATAAGAATATTTACAGATGCATACACCTAGATTTATTTTTCCTTTCTTTCGTGACAAACAATATATATATATATTTTTTTAATGAATCAAACCCGTAAGCCAGAAACACGAAAAACCATATGTCGGTCATAAACAGGCCATTAGTAAATAAAGAAATAATAAAACTCTCGAGGCGAGGATGTTAGCAGCTATCTGCGAAGATCTCCAGATGAACAAGAGTTTGATGCGCCCTAAGGGAGGTCACGCAGAGGGAAGCCCTCCGCAAGCCAGAAATGAGGACGCCCACGGGTTAAACTATTTTTTTTTTAAAACAACAGTTCAAATTTAAAATGCAATAACAAGAATAAGCTAAAGTTAGCGGTCCTCGCGCTCACTCCAATCAAGACCAGGCCACCAGATACATCAGTGAATTATTATCCAATGATTAATTCGCTATCAAATGATTTTCACCTTTAATACTTTTACTGTTAAAACAAAGCTTGGAGCAAGAATACCGAGTCACATCAAAGGTTATCGAGAAGGAATGAGACAACGAGCAAACTTGCGAAAGAGTTTAAACAATATTCCAAGCAACCCCGACCACCTTTGTCTCTCTCACAGCGCGGAGAAGCAGGAATTACACCTTATCACAAGGGGCCATCTGGAAAAGCCAGCCGGGTTTGATAAGGAGACACACCCACCCCACACACGGCAACCAGGCAAAGAAAGTTTTAAAGAAAATTGCAAAATAATATTAATAATAACAACGTGTTAACCTTACACGACATTCCATTATAGAACCTTACAGAACCAAGGGATATGGATTCCAACAATCAAGAAATGGACCTCTTAAACTCAGGATGATAATTATTTTTCTTTTTAATAATTCCATCATAACAATTCGAACCTCGGTAAAACCGAGAGGTGTCGGGAGGACGTAGTTACAAACACGAGTCTTGGCGAACATGGGACCAAATGGTATTTGAGAAATATAAGTCGGAAGTATAAAGAGGTGCTCCCGACCACCTTTGTCTCGCCCGACCACCTTTGTCTTTCCCTGCAGCACGTGATAAAATGCATACGCTCGGAAGAGCATCTTCACTTGGAAATAAATCAAATACTATGAATCACAAGCAGGATCATAACTGTGTATGATAAGATACCAACTGTGATGTGAAATGTTAAACTTAAAAAAAAATCTTAACCATTCCTTTGTGCGTCGGAACGCGTACGGAAAAGGGGGGGGGGGGGGGGAACCCGCCCCTCTCTCTGGGTGGAGGGATTAGACAACCAGACGCCACCAAGATGAATCGAGGTGTCTGTTGTCTTGATGTTTATGGCTTGAGGAAAGACCCGAACAGGACCGTGTCATAAATGACACACACACAAACACACACACTGACACACGAACCCCCCCACCACCGACACACGAACCCCCCCCCCCACCGACATACGACCAGATCAAAGATAGCTCCGCCTCGTGAGGGGGAGCCGAGAAGGAAAGAGATTTTTGGCATAAAAAGGAGCCGTTTCAGCATTGAATTCAACTCATCAGCCCTCGGGGCCAGCTCATCAGCCCTCGGGGCCAACTAATCAGCCCTCGGGGGCAGCTCAACAGAAGAAGACTCATCTCAACTCAACTCAGCAGAAGAAAAACTTGACCTGTCGCTCGCGAGCGCAGCGTCAGCTACTACAGCAGCGGAAAGAGCGCGCGCCGGCGTAGCTCATCCAGCAGTGGAGGAAACTGCTGTCAGCGAACCAGCACGGGCGTTCGCGCATCTTCAAGGAGAAAGAGCGCGGCCAGCAACGCCAAGCAAGAGCGTGCAGCAGCTCAGCCAGCAGTGGAGAGAAACTGCTATCAGCGAACCAGCACGGGCGCGTTCGCGCATCTTCAAGGAGAGGGAGCGCGCGCCACCAGCGTGCCACCAGCACCAGCATCAGCGCGTGCCAACAGCGCGCCACCAGCGTGCCATCAGCACCAGCATCAGCACCAGCGCGTGCCAACAG